CTCAGACGAATCTTGACCAACATACAGTATTTACTACTGTATTTATTATCGTCCGTAGGTATAGTACAACAGATAAGAAAAAGTGAATCAGTTCAAAATCTCGTTCCGAAATATAACCTTTCAACTTGTAAAGAAGACTAATATGATAAACTCTGTCAAATATCTTCGAGATGCTCAAAGCAACAGCCCGAGATTCACCATTCTTATCTAAAATTTCATAGACTTTTTCAGCAATAATCGTTAATACATCAAAAGTTGACCTTGAGAAACGAAAGCCATATTGCTTATCTGAAAAAAGATCCTGCGATGTGAGATGCTTAAACAATTCAAAGTTGATTAGTCTCAAGTAATTTGCCAAAAGAGGGTAGAAGGCTAATGAATCGCTAATTAGAAGGACCAGACGGTTCACCTGATTTCGTAAATACTGAAACTACAGAAGATTAATTTCCAACAAACACGAAAGCAAGAAGTAATAAAAATGATTGTAGAGTTTAAAGAGAACAGGATCCATTTCAGCAGCATATTTCTTAAGAAGTATTACAGGGATAGCATTAAGTCCATATGTTTTTATGGGAATCCACTTTAGAGAAACCATAGGCGAGGTTGTATACATATCACTCAACAGACACTCAGTTCTAAGTGGAAAGTCAGGCAAAGATGCTCCAGATGAGTGATGAAGAGAATTTGAAGAGAATTTACGATCAAATCATTCAGCTTTGTCAACAGAAGATGCTCGCACTTCAAATTGAGTGAATAGATAAGGGATAGACGTGTTATAATTATTTAACAGACTATTACAGAGCAATAGGAAAACTGTATTATTAGCCGACGCGTTTCGTCCATTGTGGACTTTTTCCAGGCAAAATATGAAATGAATTTATTGAAAACAAAGTAGCTATTAAGAAACAAAATGTCCTCAGCAACTAGAAGAATTTAGAAAACGCTATTGTATTCATATTGCCAACTGAAAATTACGTCAAGATGGCAATATGAATACAATAGCGTTTTCTATATTCTTCTAGTTGCTAAGGACATTTTGTTTGTTGTTATTAGTTACTTTGTTTTCAATAAATTCATTTCGTATTTTGCCTTGAAAAAGTTCACATTGGGCGAAACGCGTCGGCTAATAATACAGTTGTCCTATTGTCTTTTACTTTTATACATATACACACAAATATATATATATATATATATATATATATATATATATATAAGCACCATTAGTTTTCATTTAAAAAGGTGATACAGTATTACATATACAAGCATACAAAAAGACACACATAGAATATATATATATGTGTGTGTGTGTGTGTGTGTGTGTGTGTGTGTGTGTGTGTGTGTGTGTGTGTGTTGGTTTTCATTTAGTTTCATCATGATATTATCAGGTGACTAATTCTGCACCTGCGCTGTTGGGGGTCGGAAAAAAGCCCAGTTTCCAAGAAGCAGAACGAACATTCAGCCGTATCCGCTGAAGGTCATTGCCACTTTGGATAATGCAATGTTTCTTTCGTTTTTAAATTATACATGAATTAACATCGAATTTTGTGGAAACGCTTTCAATTTGATCAAAATCGAAACAATTTGTTCATTTGTAGATATCTAGCATCTTAGCCACCCCCCGCCACCAAAAAAAATTCATTTTCATTCCATGTGAATTAACATGTTGTTTGCTCCACTTTATCACAGAGAGAAAAATAGTTTTACTAAATTGAACGAAAAGTATTAGAAAAATTTAACGTCTTCAGTTTTGTTATTTACTGATCTAACTCTGTTTTTACGATATATATATATATATATATATATATATAGAGAGAGAGAGAGAGAGAGAGAGAGAGAGATAGATAGATAGATAGATAGATAGATAGATAGATAAACCTAGTGAGCCAGACAAACCTACCCAGGTTTCACCTAAGCGGATCGTCTTCGAGATTGATTTGATTATTGACAAATCAAAGATTCGAAGGTTTTTCGAGACGAGTATAGTTACCTATATATATATATATATATATATATATATATATATATATATATATATATATATATAGGCTTCAAAGCCGCCCTATCAGGTGGCGGTTGCGCTTAGCTTCTGTGGAGACCTCTTGATTGGACCTTCAATTGATAGATATGCTGCTAGGAAGGTTAGTTCACTGTGTCGCGCTAGACAATTTTTCTCGTTTGAATCTATCATACATATTTATAATTCTACCATTCGCCCGTGCTCAGAATATTGTTGCAACATCTGATCCGGTGCTTCTGCTATGTATTTAGAGATTCTTGATAAATTCAAAGAAGATATCTGCTATGTCATTGTTCCTAGCCTGGCGTATCGGATTTAGTCACTTTCTTACCGCCGTAACATAGATTCCCTATGCCTTTTCGATAAGTAATTTCATTGTAATTGTTCTGATGAGTTTTCCTCTATGGTACATAGAATTTTTTTAATTTAAACACAGTACTAGATTGATGACAAGGTCTCATCATTTTACAGTTGAAATAGCTAGATGTAACCGTAAGTTCTCAGCTAACAGTTTCTTCTCTCGCACTTCACACTTGTGGAACTCTCTTCCGGCTTCTTGCTTCCCAGTCAAATTTGAATTTAAAAAATGTAAGTGCAATGTCAATCGTTATCTTCTGTCCTCTTAATGCCTGTTCTTTTATTGTTCTTTCTCCTTAATAGTATTTTTCCTCATACTCTCTAACACTCATTATTGCCTTGCTTGAGATGAAATAATTAAAACAAAACAGTATCAGGGAGAAAGAGAGTTCATTTGTTTAATGAAAGCCACACATACTCTAGATGTATATTATGAAATAAAACATGCTATGGGTTCAAGAGCAGATAGACTGAACTCTAGCTTTGATTGGAAATCTGAAAGAAAATAACTCTGAATTCAAAACCGTAGAGAAAGCAACGGGAAACCACTCCATTCTCTTGCTAATGAATGCATGGTAATTCATAGATAATAAAGAAAAGGAATTTGTGGAGAGCCATGATCGCCTACGTCCAAAAGGTGGTTGGAATTTTAAAAAAAAACTTACATCAATCTGTCAGTTATTCTTTAAATCTAAAATTCTATATTTTATTGATCAGGTTTATTTAAGTATTTTAATAAAGCAAAATTATTTTGAAATATTTTAAAGTCAGACCTAAGACTTCAAAGAAATTTTGAACTAAAATTGCCCATAAAAAATTGTACACTCTGTTTTAGTCATGTAACCCCCCACACACACACACAGACACACACCTTCAGAAAATAAAATAAATAAAATAGTAAATCGATCATCCATTATTTTCACTAATCTGACACAAAGCCATGATATCGGGGCACTAAGTGAGAAACACGCTTCAGCAGGAAATTGACCTGCGAAACGCACTTGTAAACCATCCAGAGACGTTATACGACCAATATATATATATATATATATATATATATATATATATATATATATATATATATATATATACTAACTTTCACTTTACTTTTCTCTCCCTATATATATATATATATATATATATATATATATATATATATGAGGGAGAGAAAAGTAAAGTGAAAGTTAGGAGGAAATGAAAAGAGAGAGGAAAAGGTATCTGTTTTCTTCTGCTCCATTAAAAATGGCTAACATGATGCAATTGTTAAGTGAACGTTAATAACGAGTCAGTGATTTCGCACCGTACATTACCAGGTAACCTTGACTGTGCATATTTAATGGTCAATAATTTCGTCTGGACGAAATTAAGCCAAGGTAAAGCAAGTCAAGGTAAATGGAGTTACGTGTCGGTGAACCGACGTCATTGCTGGTCGCAAACGAGGCTCGTGACCATATCTGATTCCTGTCGGAACTTCGTGGAGGTCTAAACATCTGCTAAGCATCACACACATTATACAAACGCACACGGATACATTATACAAACGCACTCGGACACACACGATAATGTAGATCGCTCAGCCAATTCTAACGTGGGAATCAGTGTCGGATTTTTTCCTACCTTTTTGTCATTTGTACTTAATGGGGAAAAATGGATTCGACCATGAATTTACTGAAATTAGTACTGCATAACACGCACTCGTGTATAAAACGCGCCACTAACTTCGAGCTACATAATTCTAGAAAACCATTATCTGTCATGTATAAAACGCACTGACATTTTTTTTATATAGTCGCAGCTAAATTTAACATTTGTTCAACTTTTTATCCAGTCCATATAGACGAAAAATCGCTTACATTATGTAAGCGTTATAACTACTTTATTATTATTATTTTTTTTTTTTTGGTGGGGGGGGGGCACAAAATTTATACAGTATTTTGCCAAATGCTAGGATATGTTCACACAAAAATGGAACAATCTTGAACTAAAAACCAGCTCGTGCACGGAGAACGAAATTATAAACAAAAACACATTCCAGTAGCTAGTGGCTATTTCTTCTTCTTCTTCTTCTTCTTCTTCTTCTTCTTCTTCTTCTTCTTCAGGACGTTCGCGATCATGGCGCCTCACAATTTACTGTCCTCTGTAACTTTTAGTAAATTCTATCTTTTTTTGCTATCTCTCCTAAGCCCTCTTCTGCCATCCATTTACTCAAGTTTATTAGGAAGGTTATTCATAGTTTTACGGTCTCTCTTGCCTTAAATATGGTGATTTTCTAAGCGTAGCTTTGATGTGACACAAGGTCGAAAGTATTGGGTGAGTGAGGATAGAACTCACTATTCAGTCGTAACTGTTTTAGCGAGACAAGCTTGTTAACCATTACATCACGCCGAGGTGCCCGTCTTGCCATAAACATGTCCTATGAGTGTTAAATTTTCCTCTATTTTCTCATTATGCGTCCTACAAATGACAACTCTCTCTTTCTGATTTATGTATGTGTCTTTCTTGTTTCTATTTTCGTTAAAACTTTTCCATTGCTCATATGTTCACCTTTTTTTTGAAGAAGAAGAACAAGAACGCCTCTAGGGACAGCCAACGGCACCTAAAATAACGTAAACATCTACGTTGAAGCTTACAGCCATATCACATAGAAACTACCAGCTCTCGTACGGTCACCGAAGTTAAGCAACATCGAACAAGGTTAGTACCCAGATGGATGACCGCTTGGGAATACCAGTTACTCTGTGCTTTAATGTGTGGGCGCTGTAATGCGGATAATGGCACGGAATTGTTAAAAGGAGAGCCGAAGTCCAATTCCAGTTCGGTTAGTTATATTCAATTACGCGCAAATCACATTGGGAAAGGTATGAATCCAATTCTTCTCCCCCAGCTATGGGTTAATTAGTAAGACGTGTATCACTAAACCAGTATTATCTCCAAAAATATTTTTACAATCTAAAAATATTTTCTTCCTTTAAATAACCTGCAAAGGGTTGATAATCCGTAGTAAATCGAACCAATCATAATAAAACTACCTTAGTGTCGACCTTTAGCACGGACAGCAGTGAAACAAATTAAATGTGCTTATTTACCGTTTTGTTTTAAATAAAAGCAGTTTGGTTCGTGATTAGATAATAGTTACTTTGAAACATAGATATTCATTGATACCGTCCTGAATATAATGAAGCACAAGGCCGAAAATAAAAGCTCTTATTTAATCCCAGAGACATCGTCATCTACAAACTGATGACGACCACGCGGCAGACCACACAGCTGCCGAGAGGACGTCGTCTGCCAGGACCTCCAGTAAATGTATCCGGCGCTGGGAGTTGTTTCAACGCTCTACCAAGACCGTGAGAAGAGGAGGGACTTTCTTGGGCTTAGCATCTTCAAAGCATTTACTTCTCATGTATAATATACAACCCTAACTTTTATTAACAAATAATTATGTTAGTATGAGCTGTTGTAGCAAACAAAAAGAGTAATATTCTCTGGAGTTCCAGATTGCTACTAACAATATTCCCAACAAGAAGAGTGGATCTGATAATTGGAAACTGTACCTAATTCATTAGAATCGTCAATGGGTTAATTGGGAATCCTTCGAAGGATTGTAAATTTCCAAACGATTGTAATGCTTGCGTCAGCGAGAATACTGAGGAAAGTGTAGCGGTTTGAACGGCCTCAATTCAATCCGTACATTTTTTTTACTTTAGAAATGTGTTAGCAAACAAAAAGCAAACAAAAAAAACAACACAAAACTTTTTTATAATAACAAACAATTTTCCTGCATGATATGAAAAACAATCAATGTTTTCATATAGTAAGAGTTGTAATTAATAGCAGAATTTATTTACCTTTAGCTTGAAATTCTTAAAAACTTTTAAGAGAAAATATTTTTATTTGAACACACAGAAAATAAAATTAAATAAATTTCAGTCTCAATGAAAGAAATGTTCAAAGTTGCTTTTTGAATAAAATGTTTGTTTGGCAAACTGTATGTTCTTTTGGCTCGATAAAAATCGTAGATGTTAAAATTGAAGTGTATTTTGTTGGTGAGTGAGTGAATGTGAAGTTTGGCATTATGTTAGGAAATCCAACTTGAAAACTTCAAAGATTTGAACGGCATGAATTTGTTTGGCAAATTGTTTGATGCTGCAAAGCTCACTGTTAGAAGTTGAATAGTTTCTGTGTCCTTGTAGTTGAAAGAGTGAATGAGATGAGTTAAGAGATGTGCAATGTTCGTACGTGCGTGCGTACGTACGTGCGTACGTGCGTGCTTGTGTGTGTGTGTGTGTGTGCGCGCTCGCGCGTTTGTCATAGCGTCTTCATAGCGTTTTCCCTTAAAGGGACAAACGCGATTTCTCAACAGCTACATTTAGTATGTGAGAGAAGGCAAAAGTGGAAGAGTTGAAGACGTCGCTTGGTAATTATAATGTTGTATGTCACGTGATAGGCTCGAAACACATAGACAGATTTTTGGCGGTAAATCAATTAATTTGCCGATGTAGACAAAAACATGATATTAGCATTAATTGACCAATCACCACTTTTTTTTACAGATTTTGTCGATCGCAGTACTGTTACGTAGGAAATGGATTAGAATCTTTTTTTAACCAATGGAATAAGATCACAAATAAAATATTATTAAATTGAAGTAGAACACTAAAAAGTGCTGGAGATTTCAGGAATATTGCTAGTTCTCAATCTCCAGTTATAACTCTCAGACATCTGGTGTATACACAAAATGAATTAAATATTTATTATTATTATTATTATTGTTACTATTATTATTATTATTATTATTATTATTATTATTATCTTTGATTTCAGGCGTTTACACATTTCTTTCCGGGTCCCGCCCAGGGACTTAAGGTTAGAAATGGCATCATGACACTTTCCACTGACAAAAATAAATAAATTACATAGATAAAGTCCTTCGTAAAGTGTGGGCTGTACTTGTCAGAACAATTTTTGTATCTCCTTGAGGCATGGACTTCCAGGAATCCCTTCAATTAGTCTACTGCAATCTTTTCCAACCAGTCCTAGGGCTTCAACTACAACAGGAATTGTTGATGTTCCCATATGCCACATTTTCGAATTATTATTATTATTTTCTTTGATTTCTGGCGTTTTCACATTTCTTTCCGGGTCCCATGACACTTTCCACTGACAAAAAAAAAATTACATAGATTATTATTATTAATTATTATTATTATTATTATTATTATTATTCCGAGGATCAAGTGTCTAAAGGTCTTCTCGTGTATCTTGCATTCTCCTCAATATTCTTACTGATTTCATCAGATCTTAAATGCAATCATTTTTCAAACGTTTCTAAGATTACATACAGTGATCCAATGACGATGGGCATGACAGTCATTTTATTAAATTTTAAAATTAAAAAGTTCTTTCTTTTAACTTAATAAAATGAACAAACATTTCAGTCAGTGCAATATAAACTGAAAGGCCAAATTAGACATTTCAATTAAACGGATTTTTACGCTCTCCGCCACTTGTAGAAATGGACTCAACCGAATGACGTTGCCAAATTATTACGCTCTCCCCCACATGTAAAATTAGTCTCGACCGGATGATGTTCGCCAGATTATTACTCCCTTCGCCGCTTGTAGATGTGGTCTCGACCGGATGACGTTCGCAGTAGGTAAAGAGGTAGTGTAGCTGTGAGAATGCGATGGTGGTAGTCATTAAATACAGACAAGATTTAAGACCGCATAACGGCAGAATGACTTTTGGCATTAGAGAGAATAGGAACACTACAACGTTGCAACTGCTCTCAGTTTTCTACAGCATTAGCAAGGGTATATTCGAAATATGTGAATTCCCGACAGACATTAGAAGCGCGGGAAAATTTCGGGCACCCGATGCAAGAACGAGTCTGCCGGTGACTGAAGAAGAAGGATAACATTGTAACAAATCTCATCCCAATTGGACACAGGATAAAAAATATACTTTTCACTGATTATGTTAATATATACAGTCAGTCTATCTATGTTTCCACATCGTTGGCTTGAATTTGATATTGGAACGTTAAAGCTTGTCATGCTAGTTAATGCTTGACTTCTCAATTCAAACACAGAGACCCGGTGATTTACACAAGTTGGGTAGGAAATGGCGTTCTATAAATGAGAAGATTAATCTGAAAAAAAAAGTTTAAATTGAAGAATTCAAGAATGATCAAATATTAAAAGACATAGCAGAAGTCGTTAGTACAGCCATCCGTACAAACATCTTTAATTCAAACAGTTTAAAAAAAAAAAAGTTTAAATTCAAGAATTCAAGAATGATCAAATATTAAAAGACATAGCAGAAGTCGTTAGTACAGCCATCCGTACAAACATCTTTAATTCAAACAGTTTAAAAAAAAAAAATTTTAAATTCAAGAATTCAAGAATGATCAAATATTAAAATACATAGCAGAAGTCGTTAGTACAGCCATCCGTACAAACATCTTTAATTCAAACAGTTTAAAAAAAAAAAAAAAATTTAAATTCAAGAAAAGACATTCAAGAATGATCAAATTTATTTCAAAAGTTTAAAAAAAAAAAAAAGTTTAAATTCAAGAATTCGTTATTAAAGACATAGCATCCCATCCAAACATCTTTAATTCAAACAGTTTAAAAAAAAAGTTTAAATTCAAGAATTCAAGAATGATCAAATATTAAAAGACATAGCAGAAGTCGTTAGTACAGCCATCCGTACAAACATCTTTAATTCAAACAGTTTTAAAAAAAGTTTAAATTCAAGAATTCAAGAATGATCAAATATTAAAAGACATAGCAGAAGTCGTTAGTACAGCCATCCCGTACAAACATCTTTAATTCAAACAGTTTTAAAAAAAAAGTTTAAATTCAAGAATTCAAGAATGATCAAATATTAAAAGACATAGCAGAAGTCGTTAGTACAGCCATCCGTACAAACATCTTTATTCAAACAGTTTTTAAAAAAAGTTTAAATTCAAGAATTCAAGAATGATCAAATATTAAAAGACATAGCAGAAGTCGTTAGTACAGCCATCCGTACAAACATCTTTTATTCAAACAGTTTTAAAAAAAAAAGTTTAAATTCAAGAATTCAAGAATGATCAAATATTAAAAGACATAGCAGAAGTCGTTAGTACAGCCATCCGTACAAACATCTTTAATTCAATTTTTAAAAAAGTTTAAATTCAAAAAAGAATGATCAAATTCAAAAGAATTCAAGAATGATCAAATATTTAAAAAAAGACATTCAGCAAGAATGATCGTTATTAAAAGACATACAGCCAGCCATCCGTACAAACATCTTTAATTCAAACAGTTTAAAAAAAAAAGTTTAAATTCAAGAATTCAAGAATGATCAAATATTAAAAGACATAGCAGAAGTCGTTAGTACAGCCATCCGTACAAACATCTTTAATTCAAACAGTTTTAAAAAAAAAGTTTAAATTCAAGAATTCAAGAATGATCAAATATTAAAAGACATAGCAGAAGTCGTTAGTACAGCCATCCAGTACAAACATCTTTAATTCAAACAGTTTAAAAAAAAGTTTAAATTCAAGAATTCAAGAATGATCAAATATTAAAAAAGACATAGCAGAAGTCGTTAGTACAGCCATCCGTACAAACATCTTTAATTCAAACAGTTTTAAAAAAAAAAGTTTAAATTCAAGAATTCAAGAATGATCAAATATTAAAAGACATAGCAGAAGTCGTTAGTACAGCCATCCGTACAAACATC